CCCACCAGATGGGTGGCAGTGTTCACTGAGTCCATCCCAGATCTACCTGAGGTCTGGCCTTCAGCATTTTGTACCTGACCCAAGAAGTTTACACAGACTCTACATTCAGATAATCCCTCTAGGAGTTCCTGAGTTGGTAGGGGAACTGCCTGTGACTGGGATCCTTGCCTTTCATTTTGCACCCTGTAAGATACTTTGCCTGGCACACACCACTGTCACATTTGGAGCAGTGCACCTTCCACAGCATGTGCCATTCTTGAGATTCTCAGGTTAGCAATGACTGCCTCTTCATGCTAGCCATCTCTGATTGGGCACCCTGCCTGAAGCCATCCCCTAATTTGGCAAATATACCATCCCTAATCAAGTAAACGACCCTGCATCCTCTGTGGACAACAGAAATGTCATCCTAGGATGGAAGCTCCAACTTTCAGTACTTCCTAAACCAGAAAAGGTGTTATCCACGATCCACATCATACTACCTCAGGTAACTCTCAGATGAGCAGAAACTCTCAAGTGACTGGACATCCCAACGCCAAACTTCTGCTGGATTGGTAGGCATGCCAAGGACCTGCCTCCATCCACCACAGCAATGGCATGGGCATCCATCCCCCTCCATCGTCCCTCCTTTTCTTCTTGTATTAAAATATAGGACAAAGACCCAGTCTGGAAGGACATGAACAATCAGCATGATACTGATAGTGTTCCACTGAGTCACAGCCATGGCTTTTACTTACGTGACCTGGAGATAGACAGTCCTCACCCTAATTGGTAGCAGCTGGTGCTGTCACCTAGAGGAAGTTGCGCTACTAATCCAAAGGCAGAACCTCTGACATTTTAAGTCCACAAGCAGCTCGTAGGGGGAAGGATGAACAATTTCCCATGTATTTTACAGCCTCAGAAATACAATGATCAGTTTTAGGTAGCAATACAGACCCTGGCAGTTGACCATAATTGTGATATGCACACAACTGCAGATTAAAATGTTTTCAGGATTGGATCTGTTGTTCTACCACCGGATACAGGGTCATCAGAGCTGTTACTCATTGAAATAAGCAGGTCCCCTGGGTCTGTGTGCAAGTTCTGAAGGCGAATTGCTCCTCTGTAGACTCCCTGGCAGTTTCAATCCACTTTCCACTGCACTGCCTGTTAGTACAAAACCACATTAGTGAAGAGAGCAGAAGGACCACAGCCTAGAATTCAGAGCTGAGGCTCCACCAGGGATCTCAGCTTTCCACAACTCAAGTCATCTTCCAGCCTCACTTTTTCCTAATGCTTCTTGTCCCAGTTCCTCTCTGCTTTTTCTCCTTAGCACCCCCACCATCAGGCACATAGATCTCATTCCTTTGCAGCCAATTCCACTTGAAGATGACACCAGCACAGACTTCTGTATGCCTCTGGTGCCCAGTGCTTGTTGAGTGAGGCAGCCATTTGCATCTCAGGTACCCACTGGTTTAATCACTGCAGTTTAGTCACTGATTCCACCCCTGTGTCCTGTGTACCTCTTGTGTGCAGGTGCTGTACTGGGTGTGGGGTCAGGCAGGGTCAGGACAGCACACCAGGGAGTGGCCACTCCTAGGCAGAGGCATGATGACCCAGCACAGTGCAGAGTTCACAACCCGGCATCAACCCAGCCTGCGGCCACACACAACCTCTTACTTGTTTTTTGGTTGTTGTTGCCCTTAGGTTTTCAGATTTCAGTTGCTTGTTTCTTATTTTGTTACTGTGTTTTGGTATTTTCCTTTCTTCATGCTTTCTCTTCTCTAGTTTTTATCCTTTCCCTTGCAAGTTAAGTCTTTCATCTCCCTTCTGTTTCCTCAGTGGCTCTGAATCCTGTCCGATCCTGTGCCATCTTCACACTTCCGGACACAGTAGAGCCCATTGCGATAGTCATTCTGCCCTTTGAAATCTTCTGTTCAGCTCTTTTACTTCGGCATGTTTTCCCTTTATTTTGTTTTGACTTCTTGACACGCCAGTGCAGTTTTTAGGGTCTCTTCTGACATCCATTTCTATTTTTTTCTTTCTCTTCTGTTTTTGTAATGACCTTTTGCTTTCTTTATGGATGATAACCTTGCTATCATTCCACAACTCATCTGATCTTTGATCATTAGTGTTCACTGCCTCAGACCTATTCCTTAGATGATCTTGAAATTCAGATGGAATTGCTTCGAGGTCATACCTTGTTCCTGTCCTATTTTAATGGTTCCTCACTTATTTTAATTTTCTTCTACCTCAATTTAAACTTTCTTATGAGTAATTGATGCTCTGACACACAGTCCACCCCGGCCTACTTTTGACTGCCAGTATTGAGCTTCTCCAACGATTTATTCCATAAATGTCAGTGTGATTCCAATGAAGCCCATCAGGTGAGATCTTTGTGTAAAGTCAATGTTTCTGTCTTTTAAAAAAGGTATTTGCAATGAGTAAATCATCGTAAATACAAAATTGGATTGTTCTATATTTCCAGCCTCATTTCTATTATCAAGCCTATATTTTCCAACTACTCTTTCTTCTTCATGGTTTCCAACTTTTGCATTCCAGTCACCAATATCATTAACGCATTTTGATTATATGTCCAGTCAATTTCAAACTACAAGAGTTGGTAAAAATTCTTAATTTCTTCCTCTTTGGCTTTAGATGTAGATGCATATATTTGAATAATAGTCGTGTTAATGGATCTTCCTTGTATGCATAATATCCTGTCACTCACAACTTGGTATTTCAGGATGGAACTTGAAATTGACCTTTCGAATAGTATACCATAGGATTATCAGATTCAGAGTGGCCAATGCTAGTCCATTTTATCTCACTAATGCCTATTGTGTCGATGTTCATGCGTTCCATTTCATTTTTTACAATTTCTAGTTTTCCAACATTCAGGCTATGTACATTTCATGTTCCAGTTATTAAATGATGTTTGTCATTGTTTTTCCTCATTTCAACTACTTCCAATATGGGCTTTACCACCACACTATCATAAATTATTGTAGTTCTTATAGTGTTCACAGGGTTCCTAAAGTGTTCATGGTTTTCAAAGGCCTGTTATTTAAGAAGTGGGTGGCCAGTCCTGCTTCCTAGTCTATCTTGATCTGGGAGCTCTACTAGAACCCTGTCTATATGGGGAACCCTTAAGCCATTTGACTCACCAGTGGCATAGCAGTGTTATAAAACAAAATGTCTATGAATGATTGGATGAAAAAACAGTAAGATTTGTAAATGTTTACTCAAATAAGAGGTGATTTTAAAAAGCAAATTATGAGGGGAGCTCTGGTGGCCTAGTCGCAAGAAGCTGCTCTGCAATCCCAGAGATACGTGGTTCAAATCCACCAGATGCTCTGCTGGAGAAGGAGGGGCCATCTCCTCCTGTACCAATCAGATCCAATTTGATGGTACACACACACACAGAAAATAATAAAAAATTTTTAAAAAGACAAATTATGATCCAACATAAATGCTGTTTGAGACAAACAGATACTTACCTGCTGTGGAAACACAAGGAAAGATAGGTAATCCAATTTTAGAAGATCCATGTATCAGGAATATGGCTTCTCAATGCATATCATTCTGCAGGACTTAGTGGAGTTAGCCTCAAAAGGCTACTCCAGACTGAGGGAAGCAGAAGGTCATAGTCTGGAATGATGAGATAGCATGATCTACTAGTGGACCTGCAGCTAGTTTAATATGTTCAGAAGCTAGAGTTTGAAGTTGAGAATTTGATAATTGAGACTAGGGGGAAAAACAAGGAGAGTCACAGAATTTAGATTTTAACTTGAGATTAATGGAGAACTCCTGAAGTGTTTTAAATGGGGAAGTAACACACACACATTGGCATTTTAGGAAGATTACTTTAGGATGTAGTGTAGAGGGTGGATTTGATGTGGAACAGACAAAATTGAAAAGGATATATATACATTTAGAAATAAATGTTACAGGGTTTTGGTGAGCTCTGGTGGCCTAGTGGCAAGAAGCTGAACTGCAATCCCAAAGGTGCATGGTTCGAAACCACCAGATGCTCTGCTGAAGAAGGAGGGACAATCTCATCCTGTACCGGTCAGATCCGATTTGACGGTACACATATAAAAAAATTTAAAAAAATAAATAAATGTTACAGGTTTTGTGTGTTGTTGTTGCTTGATTGCCGTCCAGTCAAGCATGACTCAGTAATTCTCTGAACAAAAGGCCTGAAGCCTTTCTGTAGCTATCGTCATTTATCAAAGTTCATAGAGTTTCCAGAGGCATGCTGTTTAGGAAGTGGATGCCACTCCTGTTTCCAAAATTTTTGTGTATATATAACTTTATTAGCTAACTAACATGGTTATATAACTAATATAGATACATAATTTTTAGAGTGGCCAGTTTCCTTTCCCATCAGTAACGTGTAAGAATTCCGTCCATCTGTAGCAAGACAAACATAGGCAGTTTTGCCAGTCTTGTCAGTGCGAAATAGTATCTCGTGATTTTACCACCAGAGCCCCTCTGGTGGCCTAGGGATAAAGAGTTAAACTGCTAACCCAGAGGCAAGTAGTTCAAATACACCAGCTGTTCCAAGGGAGAAAGATGAGCAATTACTTCTGTGTGATTACAGCCTCTGGAAAACTGCTGGAGAGTCAGTTCTTACTGAAAGACACAATAAAAAAAACCTACATGATTTTAACTTGAGTGTCCTTTGCTAATCAAATGGAAGTTATTATGTTTATTGGTCATTTGGCTTTAGAACCTGTTTGGTTTTCTGTCTTAAGGGAAAAACCAATCTGCTCTGTAAACTTTTACTAACTCACAATAAAAACTTAAATAATCATAAGTTTGTGACTTTCAATCTTCGTGTCTTTTACCTGCTTAAGGGTACCTTGGTAGAAATCTTTTAGCTTGTGGAAAGAAGTCCCTTCAACATAAGTGTATCATCTTCTCTCCCCTCCACCAGCCTCTCTGATGTTGGGGGTATTTCCCAGTAGTATTTCATTGATCTCTCTTCACTTTCTTCTTCTTTTATCCCTGTTTCTTAGACTTTGAAGCGGCTAATGGCAGATGAGGTAAGGAAATTTTGTTTAGCATGTGCATGTTCTAGCTCATTTCCTACACTATGATATTTACCAGTTGTCTTAACCTTTGATTTTCTGTAACTTGTGATAAAGATATGGGTTCTATTCCCAGAGTATCCAAGGCTTTTTCTAACCCTTTGCACTGTATTTGGCTCACTGCATGTATTACCCTGACATACTCATAAGCTTCTACGATTAGCATGCTCATTAAACTGCAGGCTAACTTGTGATTTGGGTGCTTGAGGCCCCACAAGGGTTGCAGATACTTACTGTTCTTGTCAAATACATGGAACTGATAAGCTGAAGTTTATTGCTTGCTCTTTTTGTTAAGAACACCTGTTCTTATTTTTTAAGGAATGGTTCTATAAGCATTTGACAGAGTTGTTGTCATTAAGTGCCGTGGAATCAAGCACAAACTCATAGTGACCCTATAAACAAAAGACCTGAACCCAGTTCTATAACTGTTGCTGTTTCTCTGCATTCATAGAGTTATGTTGTTTAGGAAGGGAATGCCACTCCTGCTTCCAAGCCTGTCTCAGTCTAGGAGCTCATCAAATACTGTTCACAATGGGTAACCATTATGGCATTTGACACACCACAGTGTTCAGCATTACAGCAACCCCAAGTTACTTTAGTACAGCAGTTGACAGACCAGTGCTGTACCACTTAGAAGAATGTTCATCCCAAACACAATTAACACCAAGCTCCAGGGCCTAGCTGCCTTTTAAATACAAGGTCCACCCACCAGGTCCTGGTTGACTCTAAACAAGAGGTTTCCAGCTCACAGCTCATGGTTAGCTAAATCTGGGAAATTCAGTCAGCTCACACCTGATTGTAGTGTGTTTGGTTAGAAGACCCAACCAGACAGTCCAAACTGGACCCTCCCCAAAACAAGAGAATCCACACATATCCTCCTAAAAGATTATGTCCTTAGATGGCTTTAAAGGGATATTTATTCATCTGAAGAGTAAGCTTTGAACTTATGCTGCCTGTGTAACACAAGTACTGTGGAATGTACAAAAGGAATAAAAGGAATGTTTATTTTTATTTCAAGGCACTTATTTGTTTACTCTCCGAGTCAGATAAATTAAAATCTGTAGTCATACCTCTTAAAGGGTGCGATTCTATGTGGACCTGGCCACATTTATTATTGGGTAGTTAGAGGTGGTGCTGTATGTTACATGTTGGGCTGCTGATCAAAAGTATATAGATGGTTTGAATCTACCAGTCATTCGGCGGGAAAAAGAAGAGATAGGCTGCTCTAGGTTAAGATTCACGGCCTCAGAAACCCTGTAGAGGGTCACCATGAGTCAGAATCAACTCAGGGGACAATGGGAGTTTGGCATTAGAGGGAAATAGGTCATATCATTCTGCACGTGAGATACTTTCATCCTGTGAGATACTTTCATCCCATTATCATCAGCAGATATCTTAGGAATGATAGAGGAGTTCAAGGGCAAAACAACTTCTATTTAGAAGTATCTGCTGTTTCAGAGCTTTAAACTCTTAGTACTTTAGTTCTGTTCTCTTTGGTTGAAGAGGAGAGTGAAAGAGTTTTATACTGAGTTAGATAGAAGACTAATTTTGCCTTTTCATGTCAGAGAGCCTTGAACTGCTGCACATCACTCAAAGGAGTCATGCATGTGTACAAGAGTATGGAGTTGATACAACAGTTTTTGGGGTTTGGAAATTGACCACTGCTAATTTTCTTTTCTTCTTGTTTCTTAGCTGGAACGATTTACCAGCATGAGAATTAAAAAGGAAAAGGAAAAGGCCAATTCTTCTCATAGAAATTCTTCTGCAACTTATGGGGATGATCCTACAGCACAGTCATTGCAAGATATTACTGATGATCAAGTGCTAGTTCTCTTTGAACAGATGCTGGTAAGTTTGCAGTAAAGCACTACTTTTCCTAAAAATGCATTTATATGTTTGGTGAGCCCTTTCCTTTTGTGTTGGTGCAAATTCCTCCATTACAAAGAATTCCTAGCTTAATAAGGAATTTCTTAATAATAATCCTGTTAAAACTAAGAGACTAAATATACACATACCAATCCATGAAAAAGATTACTGATGTATTTAGTGATTGGGGAGGGGTGAGTGTTTCAGTGATAGGAATTTCCCAGTCACATCGTGGGAAAATGATGAGGCGCTGTGCTTCCATTAGATTTACAGCCTTGGAAATCCAATGGAGCAGCTCAGTTCTGTCCGACAGCTTGCTATGAGTTTGGGTTTTTTTGAGTCTGGTCTTGTTTACAGGGAACTGTGCACTATGAACCCAAGGTGACACCTCTCTGTGGAGTCAAATTCACCAGGGGCTCCATGGCAGAAAGCTAGACACTCTCTTCTGGGGAAATTTACAGCTTCTGAAAACTCGCTAGATGGTCAGCTATGAGTCCATTCTTACTTGACAACAGTAAGTGAGTGAAATTAGAATTTTAAAGAAGCTGATCATGGACCACTCTGTTAATATTCTGCCTAGCAACTCTTGAGCCACAAAGATGCAAAGTTCCAACTCATATGATTTATATTATATTATAT